CATCTCTTTCCCTTCCCTTCTGCTCTCATTGTTCTTTTTTGTTCAACCTCTTTTCTCATAAGTTTGTTCCTTTATTGTGGAATTTATGTTTTTGGGCATGTTGAGAAGTTTCCTGAAAATGCCTCCAGATTCTGCAGAGCACCATTGTGAAAGGTATCCTCTTCATCTGGATCCTTAAGGTGCTGCTCCTGCTGCTTGCAGTGTTCTAATAGGTCTCTGGGGTGTCCTGACCTCTCTTTTTTCCTCCTTGAGCAGGAAGAGACTCATCAGTTCCCAGCGTATTTTGGTAGGCAAGATGAGCGGATTGGCATTGGATCCTTTATCTGTCTGTCTACTTGTTTGAAGATTGAGTCACCTTTTTAAACCTACAGCGATGTTCAGTTGCCAGCTGTCAACAGGCTTCACCTGATGTATGTCTTCTCTACTGACATGGCATCTTTCTATAACCACCATCCCATTTCTCTGTTGCTCTAACCTGCTGTGTCACAGGGAAAACTAGTCAGCAGGCTGCACTGTCTCCACAGTTTCCACTGTGTTCCGGCCTCTACACTGTTCTAGACCTGCAGAATGCATTGCGTTTTGGGGATCCCATCCATCTTCCAAGTTGTCTCTCTCATTTTCGAGCTCTTCCTGGGATTAAGACGACATTGGAGAAGGAGGAGGAAGACCAGGGAACTGTTCTTTGTTTGGTTTGAAGCTGAAGTAAGAATGGTGGTGGTGGTGACTATTTATTCCATTCCCCGGTTTTTCAAGATCCTGGGTGTCTGAGTCAGGTATTGGCAGAGAGGGAGTTACAACATGCCTTTCTATCTATTTCTTTAAAGGAATTTCTCTTTAGAGAAGAGAACTTGGCATATGTCATACATGTGCTCGATAGGTTTTTCTCAATCCAGCTTCATTTGCCTCATAAGTATTGTCAGTTTCTTCCACATCCTGGCGATTAGGTTGTCTGTCAGTGTTTGTTCACCTTGTTATATAAGTCTTCATATTTGTCTGTATTTGCTGGGGTATTTTCCTCAGAAGCAAGGAGAGGCCTGTTGGAAGCTTCTAGCCAGAGGCCATTTTGGATGGAAAGTCCCACAATGCATTTCAGTTTTTTACTTGTCTTCCTAGGGAGACCCTTAATAAGAAGGCTGGGTCCCAGCCATCACTGGGTCCCCAGCATTTTGCAGGAAACTGGCACAGAATTGCTGCTCAATAAATGTTGCAAGAATGAACAAAAGATGAAGAGGAAGCTTTTTGTTATTTGTCTATTATCTATATTACAGTGGTTTAAATGAATCTTAAAGGATCCACCTGCCTCTGAAAAAAAGAGTTGAAAATGTGTCTTGTGGCCCAAGAAGCTAATTAAAGTTAGCCTGGGTCATGGGGTGTGTAATTAAATATTTTATATTGCAGTAAAGTAATACTTATTAAGGAAAAGATGGGATGGGGGCAACAATATCTTCTCATGTACAAGACATGTTTATGATCATCTTCAGGATAATTACTATTTGTCTACACTCTACTAATAAGTAGAATGAGGAAAACAGAGTTAAAGTACAACAAAAGGGATGCAATTTAGAAGTGAGCAGAAACTCTCTAATAGAGTAGCTTTATAATGGATGGAATTATCAAGGGAAGTTGTGCAATTGCTTTCACTAGAAATGCTTTCCAAACATTTGGATGTGAAACTGTTTAGAGGTAAGGAGTGAACTGGTTGGCTGCCCCAAAACTGTCAGATGGGCCTCTGAGTCTTAGCAAAAGGGTTCAGTCACCCTTGGGTGCCTGAGAGCCCTCAGCTGCTGGGTTTAGCTGCAAGCATCTGCTGCTTTGAAGGAGTGATTTAGTGATATCAAACAGCCGAGTGATTAATCAAGAAAACAAGTGAGCATTTGACACCAGAGAGAAAAAAAAATAGTCGAGGAGATGCTGTAGGGAAAATAGGCACCCAGGCTTGGATTCCCAAACCAATGGTGCTTTCAGGGATATTTACAAATTATAACCCATTGCAAGAGAAAGATCAATCTGCTGCACAGCTAAATTAATATTTAACTTGCCCAAGAAAAGTCAATCCTTTGAGTTATTAGGGAAATTCACAAGCAGCCCTAAACTGATGTGTTTTTTTTTTGTTTTTTACCTAAGCCATTGGCATGTTTTAAAAGTCATCAATGCTGTTTTCTTCACATTCTTCTGAGTTGATGTTCCCTAGCCCACCCCAATCCAACCTGCTCCTTGAATCCTTCCTACTTTTCCCCTCTCTCCTCTTCCTGATGTAGAATACTTCCTTCGAATAAAACCTCATGCAGATGCCCAGTAAAATAAGCAAAGAAAAGCTGTGGGAACAGAAGTGAGGTCTGAAGCCTCAGCCCTTGGCCACCCCTGCACTTCTGCACCTGGGTACCTCCTAAGAAGGCCTCGGTGCAGTTTTCAACCCCCGGACCAAGAACAGTGGCTTCCAAGCCTCATTGAGCTGCATAACCAATTGGGGGGGGGTGAGGGTGCTATAAAATCACACTTGTGGGTCTATCTCATCCCCACTGACTTAAAATCTTCCTAAATGAGGCCTAGGGATCAGTACTTTTAGAGGACCGAGCTGGCGAGTCTCCTTTAATTATCATGGCACAGGCTGAAAGACCCCAGCAGAATTGTCCTTGGAATCCCTGTGCCAAGGTGTGACATTTTGCAGTGAGATGATGGTCAGATCTATCTTTAGCCAGATCTGGAAGGATCTCTGGCTATACCCACACAGAGATGTAACAGGAGGATGAGGGTGAGAGGGACAGCAGAGAAGGCTTCCTGGGAGAGGTGGGATTTGGGTAGAAATAGAGGGCAGGAAATTCAATTCAACTCACTTTTCAAGTAAATATCCCGTCCAGTGCTGCATGGGGAAAGTCCTCAACAAACGGGAGTTATCGCCATTGTGTTTAGCCACCCACTGTCACCTTTCAATGCTCTCCTGATCTGTTATTCTCCAGAGTCCTATCATCACCTGACATGCCCTTGCCTATTTTTCGATTGTCCCTCTAGTACACAGCAAGCTCCCTCAGAGTAGGGCCATGTCCACTGTGTTCCCAGCCCAGGGCCTGCCTGGTACATCGTAGACACTCAGTAAATATTTGTTGAGTAAGTGGGCTAGTGTGTGACTACCCCTCATGCGGGTGTGGGGACAGCGAGGAGGGCAAGCTGGCTGAGCACCCCCCAGGCCCAGAGAAAGCCTGGCAGTGTCTGGGCTGGGAAGGTAGTTCCAGGGAGCTTGCAGAGAAGTCCGAAGGCCATGCCAGAGTGGCCCATCTTTCTTCAGCAGACAGCGAGGAGCCACTAGGTTTCTGTGCGGGAAGAGATAAGATCAAGCTTGGCTTGAGAAAGATTAGTTTGGCAGCAGAGTTCAGAGGGATTGGAGACAAGAGGGGCAGAAGCTTGGCGGCCATTCAGGGACTATCCGGTTGTCCAGCGGCAGGTAGCATGGGTTGGAACTGCAATGGATGCATGGGCTTGGGACACAGGTATCAGGAGGAGGATGTGGCAGAGGGTGGCTTCACCGGACCTGCCTCCTGAGAGACTATGATGCCGTGAAAGGGAGGAAAGAGCTGAAACTCACTCATCGACCCATGCGTGAGGGGCTGGCTGGAGGCAGGAGAGCAGGTGAAGCTGCCAGGGAGTTGCCCTTGGACCCAGGGAGGACAGGCTTGGGGGACACCTCTTCTGACAGTAGAAGAGGTAACAGAGGGAACAGTAAGACGTGGTAAGAAAGGAAGGAGGAGAAGCAGGGCCATGGAAATGGGGGCCCCAGCCCCAGGAGAACCGCTGCTCACCAGTGTCAGAGGGTGCTGAGGGGCCAGGGGGACAACAGATTCTGAGGAGCAGGTTGTCACCCAGGCGACATCAGGTTGCTTCAGAGACACCAGGATGCAGTTGGTGTTGTGGTGGGGCAGAGGGCAGCTGGCATGGCGTGAAGGGAGATGATGAGGCAGTGGGATCCGGGGCATCTTCCCTTCAGGTGCTGAGGGGAGGGGAGGGAAAGAGGGGGGCCGGAGTCAGAGCTGGGGAAGGAAAGAATTGTCAGAAAGAGGGGACTCGAGTCTGGCTGAGGTGCAGGGGAAACAGTCCCAGCAAAGAAGAGGCTAACCACTCAGGGTGGGGAACTGATTTATTAATAGAAAAGCCCAAGGAGGGTCATCAAAAAGAGAGCTATCATATCTTCCCACTGTTAACTCTTTAACAACTCTGGGGAAAGGCTTGATGCCCCCACAGTGGGGAAGGTGGCGAAAGAGGAGGAGGAGGAGGAGGAGGAGGAAGAGGAGGAGGACCTAGTGGTCCTCCCTGGCCTTGTAGGGCTAGGCCATCATCAGGTATATGGTGGGCAGTGTCGAGGAGGGAAGGACACTTCTCCAGCATAACGTATAACAGCTTCAAGGTGGGTTCATGATCTAGAACACTCTGGCCATCTCCAGAAACAGGAAGAGAAAGTGGAACTGTCAGATCTGAGCTTAGGAGAACTGCTCCTAACTCCAATGTCCTGTCCCCTTGCTGCTACCTAACCACGTCCTTCCAACACACACCCAAGGCCTGGCCCACAATAACAGTGCCCTCCTCTGTACCCCTCCCCTCTGTACCCCTCCCCGTGCCTAACCCTGGGCCATCCCCATTGCCTTCTCTGCTCTTTTGCAGGTGGTCTCTCCCACTGATGCCATCCTCTGGGGCCAGGGGCCCCCGTGGATGTTCACAGAGTGCACTGGAAGTGAGCAGTAAAGGCAGTTAGAGGCTTCTGCAGGAAAAGCACAGCGAGGAGTTGGACGGGAAGCGTGGCCGCACCCTGTGGGCACTGGAGCAGCAGCCCACAGGTTCTCTGAACAGCATCATTCATTCAACAGATACCTGCTATCACTTCCCACGGGCCAGGCACTGCTCTGAGCACTGGGGATTCTGTAGTGGACAAAATAGACACGAATCTCAAGAATGGAGACCTCATTTTAATAAGGGGAGGTCCACAAAGAACAAAGTGGATTAGTAAATACCATTTCCTGCTATTCATAGAAGCTGAAGTGCTGTGAGGGGGCCGGGCAGAGGACGTGGCAAGGGAGTTGCACTGAGTAGTCAGGGCACTCTTGTCGCGGCGAAGATGAAAGAAGACAAATTTGACTGTTTAAAGCTCATCCAGTCCTGGGAGGGCCGTAAGGGCAAGAGGCCTCAACCGGCTCCTTCGCAGGGCTGGGAGGTCCGGGATGCGGGGAGCTGGGGTGGGTCGGTGCGGTTCTCCGAGAGCTCCACGAGGGGGAGCCCGCACCCCTCCTAGCGCCTTCCGAGCCCTCCCGCACAGCCTTGCAAGCAAAAGTTTTTCTTAAACTAACAATGCCAGTGTAAGGAGGTGCTCGCGCCTGATTGGACGGGGGAATTTTGCAGGTTTGATTCCTTGATTGGACAGGAGGTGTTAGGGGTGGGGAGAGAGCTGATGGTGGGGGATCCCGCTCCCTCCCCGTCAGTCTGGCCGGCTCCGTCCTCTCGTAGGCTCCGCTGTAGCTCGCAATGTGACACCAGGACGCACACGCTCGCGCGCTCTCCCAGGCTCGCTCTCCCTCGCCCTCTCTCTGTCTCTCACACACACGCAGGCACACACCCACCTCTCCCATAAACACACACACACACATGCACACCCACACCCACGCGCGCCCGCACCGCCCCACGCGCGCACACTCCCGCCCACGCCCACGCAGCGCTCCGGGGAGCCGGGTCCCGGCGAGAGCGCGAAAGGATACGGAAAAGCCACCGGCGGGGAGCGCAGCGGCGCTCCGGGACGCGGCGCCCTCCCCGCGCGGCCGCCTCGGCTTGGGCTCGGCCTGGGGGCCGCCGGCCGGCGATGGCCCTGGATTGCCTGCTGCTGCTCCTCCTGGCATCCGCAGTGGCCGCGATGGAAGGTAATGTACCCTCCACGGAGCAAGTTGGCGGCTGGTGGCTGCCGCCTCGGGGCCGCTGTGCTTCGGGGCTCGCGGGGTTTCTCTGGGCTGCTTCGCGTTGCGCGCATCCCGGGACCCGAGGCAAGGCGGTCTAGGAGCCTCCGCCGCGGCCCGGCGCGGGGCTAGGGCGGCACCCACCGGCGCGCCCGCGGCTGGCTCTTAGCGCCCAAAGCTGGCTCGCGGAGTACCGCGGCTCCCGCACCCCGGCACTCTTTGGCAGTCTCGGTCACCCGCAGCCTCTGCTCGCAGAGCGCGGAGCCCGCTGCATTGCGGTGCACATTGCTTAGCTCTGGGCAGAGCTGGGCGTCCAGGAAGGGGCGCCTCGGGCCATCGGCTCCTGGAGTATGGGCGCCGGTCAGCTCCCTCCCTCACCCAGGCACCGATGCGCTTCAGAGCAGCCGCGCGCCACCTCCCTTTCCCCAGCTCGCAGTCCACCGACTCTGCTTTCTGGGCTCCGCGAGCAAGTGCTGCGCGCGGGGGCCGGAGAAGCCCTGCCCTGGCACTCCGAAAGTGGCCACCGTAGGAGAGGGGCTGAGTTCGGGGAACAGTCTGCTGGTCCGGGAGCCTGCGGGACTGCACCTTTCCAGGGTCTGTCAGGGCGAGGTGGACACCCTTTTAGCCTCTTGAGCCTTGGAACAGGGGTGGCTTGGGGTGAGTGGTCCTCCTTAAACTCGCCCAGCCTCCCCAGCCCCAGAGAGGAGACTAGGTAGCCCGGAGCCCGCGGCCAGGACGCTGCCTGCTGGCTCAGCCTCTGATGTGCCTCCAGCTAGTGGCCGGGAAAGCGCGCTCGGCGGACACCGAGCCTGGCGCAGCAGGGAGCCCGGGCGCTCAGTTGCGCCCGCGAATCCCTGTGGGAAATCCCGGTTCGGCTCCCCGCCTCCCGCCCCCTTCCCCCGCCCCCATCCTTCGCAGCCGAGCGGCTGCCGCGACCGCCTCCCATAACGCAGCCCAGCTGGAGAGCGGAGTTGGAGTAGTCGCGAGGGAAGCAACTCTAGGGGTGATGCTGTCGCAGTCCGCCTAGCAGCCCCGCTCCCCGGTGTCCAGCTCAGGGTGGAACTCCGCGGGGCGACTCCAAGCCAGGCGAAGGCACGCAGCTCCTGGTGCCCGCCCCGCGTTCCCATCTGCGAGCTCGCTGGGTTTGCTACCCGTTCCTCCCGAAACTGCCCGGTCGCCCAGTGGAAACTCCCCCCACGCACCATGTTTGGAGCCCCCCACCACTCGGGAAAGCGCTGCCCTTCTCTAAGCGAAGCTGGGGGGCATTCCAGGCCCTCAGGCGCGGCTAAGATTCCCTTGCCTTTTCGCGAAGACCACCACATCCCGCGTTTGTTCCAGTGGCGGCGCGGGGGTGCGGCGATTAACGCCTAGGAAGCTCTCGCTTGCTTTTCCGAAGGTGGCGTTTCGTCTGCCCTCGGCCTCCCACTGCCCCCTTGGGTTGCTGATCTTTGTAGGGAGGGGGTTGTTTTTTGGAATAGGCAGGGGACTGGAGCCGTGGGGAGCTCGGTCAACACCCCGCGTAGGGATGCTTGGGTTTGACTTATTGAGAGACACGTGCGGAAGCAGTTGAAATAGGAAATTCAAGGGGATACACCTGAAAACCGGGCGAGACAAGCCCAGGTGAGAGCGTTTGCAAAGGGTGATTGGAGACTGGACTACGTAGCGCCAGGGAGGTCTTGCCGATCTGAGGCAGTGTGGGCCCGCTGCTCTTTGCACCTCCAGAGAGTCAGTGGCTGGGTCTCGGAGAGCACATGGGTGCTCACTTTGCGAAGGCGGGTCTTGGCATTGAGTTCCCATCGATGGGCCTTGCGTCCCCATACAAGCAGGCGAAATAGTTTGGAGAACATTAGGCGTCAGGACGTGGTGGTTTTCCTCCCTACACCCCTCTTCTTGGCTAGCCAGAGCTCCCTGTCTGCGTGGCCAGCATTGGCTGCGGGGTACCATTGTGCCGGCCCCTGGCATGATATACAGGGCCCTCGCACCAGGTTTTCCCGAGCCACCCTCCTTGGAGCTGTGGCTTCTTCCATCCAGCTGGAGAAACTTTGCCAGTGGCCTGGCAGGAAGGAGCCTGACTCTGGGCTCACAATCTCTCCAGCAAGGGTTAAAAGAAATACCACATTCAGCAGAATATTAAAGCAGCCCCTTCGTCCCTGCTCAGTGCGCAGGGATAGTACACACCATTCACTCCTTCCTCTCCTAGAATGAACACAGGAAGGTTCATTTTCTACTCTCCACACACGGGGCCGCCTTCCCGCCTGCTTGGCTGGGCCTCGGCCAGCGTCATTTGGTTTGTGATGAGTGAGGAATAATTATCAGAAAAGTGGATCAATGAGCTGCCTACAACAGACAGCGGATCCCTCCGAAGTCGGCGGTGGCCAGGGGGCGCCTCTCATTGCTTGTTTCAGCCACTTGTGTGTCTGCCTGCTGCCCGCCACTCCCCAGGTCTCTGGGGGAATTTCAGCTGGGCTTTGCCATCCAGGGCAAACAGCTCCGAGACCACGCAAGTCCTCAGCCCAGGCCAGAGCAGGGACTAAGGGACAGGGGCCGTCATGGGCCAGGCTGGGAGATGGGGCCAAAGGGACACAGGGCCTAGGAGCCCCCTTCCCAAGTAGAAAGAAGGGCAGAGCCTAGGAGCCCTCTTCCTGGATGGAAGGAAGGAGGGCTGGGTCTGGTTGTTGGCCAGAGGGCGGAGGAGGGGAGGGGGCTCTAATTCACGGATCATCAGGCAGGAAGCCACCTGGCTTAGGGTATGGGAAACCAGGACTGAAAGAGAGCTCCCCTTCCCTCCTTCTAACCCACCCTTCCCCACTTCCAACTGACTCTGCTCTATGAGGAGAGAGATGTCACTACAGGGAAAGGCTGTCTGGGGCTTTTAAAGTCTGTTTTCAGAAGGAAGCAAGGCAGGCTGTGGAGCAGGGATGCTGACATCCCTTGGCCTGCTGGACACAAAGCCTCTTTCCTCAGCCCCTGATAGACAACTGCTTCCTCAAGCCGGTGCCTCTTCATACTGACTCTCAGAGCTTGTTAAGAATGCGCTGCTGGTGTCTGTGAAGGTAACCGCTTGCATTCTGTTAGCTGCCCCTTGGCTTGTGGCCTTTGGGATAGGACCTGGAAACCTGGGCTTGTCCTGAGGTTGCTTCCACAGTGGCAGGGACATGTTGGGTTTGCAGCAGACACCCACCCTTAGAGTGGGGCATACCTGGACTAAGTGTGTTGGCCCTTCTGGAAGGTAGCAACCTGGATTTGCTAATTCTGGTTGCATTCTCCCAGTCTTACCCACCGTGTCCAGGGAATAGCCATGCACCTGCAGGTGGCCTCAGTGTGTGGGACACTGGCTGACTGGAACACTGCCAGAAGACTAGCTCTTTGATGTGACTTAGAGTGAAGTCCTGGGCTTGGCACCCTTGAATGTCCACATGTATTTGGGTGGTAGATTTCTCAGGGTTTGACAAATGGTGGGTTCTCGGTAGGCAATGCTGATGCACGAGTACACTGCTGAGTTACTGTGCCCCTTTGTGGCGTGGCCCACCTTGAAATGCTAAGGCACTGAATTTTATTTTACTCATTTTGGATTCAGTTAAGTTTCCATTACAGGTTCGTGGTGGAAAACTCCAACCTAAGCCTGTGTGTCTGCAACAGACCACCAGGTTGAGCAGTGATTATCTGCTTCTATTTGTTTGCTATGTGTGCGTCTGTTTTGAGTGTCCATGAGCAGGCTTGAGCCTACAAAGCAATAGCAGGTGCCAAAGATTTTTTTAAATGTCCAAGAAAGGAAAGTCATCTATTAGCTGATTTTATTTTCTGTGTGTTGTGGAAAGATTGCTTATTACTCAGTGTTTGTGGAGGGACCTCCTCAAGCCACAAGTGGAATGCTGGTGAGGTAGGGCAAGGCAGCTCCAGGCAATTGCTTGGAGATGTCAACAACTGCAGAGGTCCGGACTCAGCCCCCGATCAAACCTTCTGGGTTGGTGGAGCAGAGCTGCCAGCAGCTGTTGATGCCCTCAAGCATGGGAGGGACAGCCAGGCCACACAGGATCTTGCCCCAGCCCCTCCTGCCTTTTGTTGACATGTCCAGACTCAGGCTCAATGTCAGAGCCCCTGCCCTGTCCCTTCATGAGGATGAGTCCTTATTACCAATAAGTACCTTAAGAAAATCCCATGAATAAGAGGCATGGTATGGCCCTTATTTAAGTTTACCCATGAAGAAGAAATTTTTGATAAAGCAAATTGGACTAGAGGAGAAGGAACAGAAGAATAACCCCAACCACTGGAACTAGCCTGTGGACCCATTTACTAGAAACTGCCTGTTCTCTCATTGATTGAATGAATTTCGTGAACTTGGGGCAATGGATGGAGTTGTCGGGTCAGGAATGGGTCTGGCCATGAGGTTGGGGCTGGGATCAACCTGGGGTGGAGACAGAGAGCAGAATCATAAAGCCAGAGTACTCCACCTTGCTTTCCATCTCCCAGCTCTGTCGCTTGGGAAATCACCCAGTCCACCTAGCCACAGTGTTTTCCATTCTAGTGAGTCATGATGCCCACCTGTTCCAACCTTGGAAGTCGGGACACGTGACATCCAATATGAGGACATACTCTGTATAGAATTAAAAAGAAAAATGCTATTAAAATCAAAGATACATTTATATTACCAACTTTATAAAACCATTTTTAGGTACTCCCTACGAGTTCTTAGTATCACTAAGATTTAGGATTTCCAGCATGAGCAAAAGGTAGAGGCAAGTTTGAAAGCCCAAAGAGGGGAATATCATCTCAGACAGTGATTCTCAGACTTCAGGCAGCCTATATGTCACCAGAGCAGTTTTAGGTCCTAACCCTAAAAGTTCAGCACAACTGAATGGATCCTGAACATCTATATTTTTAATGGGCCCCCCCAGAAGATCCTGAAGTAGTTGCTTCCTGGAAACACTGCCCAGGGGAATGGGTCTAAACCAGACTGCAGTCAGAAA